TTCTTTTTACATAGCTGAGTTTGATGGGAAAGGAGCGTTATGCTATGCTATGAAATTATTTTTGAACTCTGAGTCATAATAAGTTTCAAAACAACTATTTAAAAAAATTGTGCATGTGTGGGTCCAGAGAGACAGTACAAGCAGCTAGGGTGCTTCCCTTGTATAAGGACAATAAGAATTCTATTCCCAGCAACTTATACGGTCCTGGGAGAACCACCAGGAGTGAACCCTGAATGGGAAACAGGAGAAATCTTTGAACACCTACAGGTACAGCTCAACAAGAGCAAAAACACTTTCCCATGGAAGTGTAGAAGGAACAATGCTTGTATATCACCTCCATAAAGGCAAAGGGCATCACAAATCACAATCAATCACAAATCATCCTGTTATTCGTCGATTGCCTCGAGCAGGCTCCAGTAACGTCTCCTTCATCCTAGCCCTGAGGTTATATTCAAGTCTTTTTAGGAGAATGAGACCCATCATTGTTACTGGAATTTGGCATATTGGGTACGACACAGGGAGTTTGCCAGACTCTGCCGTGTGGGCAGGCTACATTCGGTAGCCTGCCAGTTTGTCCAAAGTAGGAATGAGATAATAAGATATCGCGTGGCAACCGCGGCCGCGCGGTTCCAGGAGCTGGTTTTTATAGTCTCTGAGTCTTGGCCGCTGATGGGATTACAGGGCGCCAGGGGGCCAATTGGTGGGTGTGACAAAGTGTAGAAGGAAGAATGCTTGTATATCACCTCCATAAAGGCAAAGGGCATAATTTCAGTTTTTAATATATGATTATTAAATATATATTAAAATATGTATATTATTGATATGCATCATGATCACGATCATACTGTTGTTCGTCAATTGCCTTGAGCAGGCCCCAGTAACGTCTCCTTTGTCCTAGCCCTGAGATTTTTAAACAGTGCCATATTCAAGGCACTTTCAGGGTTAGGAGAATGAGACCCATCATTGTTATTGGTATTTGGCATATTGGGTACGCCATGGGGAGTTTGCCAGATTCTGTTGTGTGGGCAGGATACTTTCAGTATGCATATAAACTGTGATATTTAGTTCCAGGGGTAAGAATGGAACAGAATTCAGTAGGTGATTGAGATAATATTTATGTATTTATGAGAAATTTTGTACAGATTAAGCATGTAGAAAGAATTATAATTACTAAAGATGGACACAATTAGCAAACAGTAAATAACCTTTATGGACATCTTGAAATTTTCTGTGAGTTTAATAATTATCACATTTATATTCACTTCTCAAAAAGATCCTATGCTAGAGTTACAGGTTTACTTAATTTGCACAAAAGACATTGCAGGGATGACTAATGTGGATAGATTGAGAAAGCTGTCAGAAACGTTTATATAAATTAGTCAAGATTATATAATGATGAGGTGAAAAAGCTTTTATTAAAAGTTATATTCATCTGCCTCATACATATTGATTTTAGAAATCTCTTTGGGTTTTCATCTAGAGAAGTTTTTAATTGTAAAGGCCTCACTAATGATGTCAAATGGAATCAGACGACTAACCAAATTTCCTATAATACTCTGTTTTGCTTCTAGTAGGATGAAACAGATCTTTTTAGATGTAATAGCTTTTGATTTTAGCTTTCTTTCTCTCATTCTAGTTTTGCTTTTAGAGCTTTGGAGAAAAACTTTCAAAATTTACTTTAAATGACAACTCACATCTCTATAAACAGTATTGACCATATACACAAATAAGGCTTTGTAAAAAATAAGGTTTAGTTAAAATGTAAGCACTTAGTTTATCAAAATAAAATGAAAACCATGAATTTGAGAAAAATAAGAAAATTAAAGAATATGATGCATGGTTCTTATTTGCTGCTTTCTCTCTTTTGATTTTGGGCCAAATCTTAGAGCACTCAAGGCTTATTCCTGATTCTATGCATGGGGATCACTCTTTGAGATGTTGAAGGGATCGCATGTTGTGCCAGGATCAAGCACTAATTGGCTGCATATAAATAAATGCCTTCACCCCTGTATTAACTCTCTAGCCTTTATTTTATATTTAATAAATTATATTGAATTTTGTTTGCACTTTATAGTAAACTTAAAGAGGCCATTGACTCTTTTCAACCATCTATAGAAGTTAAATTCGGCTGTTTTTTTTTGTTTCTGGTGTGGCTATAAATACAGCCAATTGAAACTAAATAATTTCTGGCAATACGTTTTAATTCATAGTTTTAAATCATGGCAACTACTACTCAGAGTAAACACAGTATTTCTAAAAGTGTTATCTAGGCATGACCTTAATTAGTTTATTGAAATTAAAGATATTTATAAAATAATCTGCTAGTGCTGGATTTTGGGCTCAAGTGTGTGTGTCTTTAAGTGCAAGTATGAATGAAACTTAAGCACTAGTAGTGGCAACTACATACAGAAAACATAAAATATGCAAAATCATTCTCACTCTGTTCATTGAAGAAACAATTTACATTTTATTTTATATCTTTTTACTTAAAATCTATTCACCTTAAGCTTTCTGATCCACATTTGTTACAGGTCTCCAACCTCAATATTCAATTGCAGTTTAAGCACATTTGAAGCAAGTAAGTATTTCTTAAAATTTTGGCATATATATCAGTAGCAAAATATAAACTGACCTGATACAAATACATTCATAATTTGTATGTACCTATTCATCATGAGTGCTCATATATTTAAGGACAGACACATAGTGTATTTGAGCACAAGGTGCTTTCCCAGACCTCACACACATTAAGGAGCACTAATGGTTCACATCCGGTATAACACTATAAATTCACATTACCTCTATAAGATCTAAAAGTTTCAGAGCTCCTAATGACATCTGGGCCAGAGGGTATAAGAAATTGGAGACCAGCATCAATTTCTAAATATATCTTAGAATTATAAAATGTGTTTGGTATTTTCATGCTAATGAGTACAATTTTGAAAGAATGTCCTAGAGCAAAAGCAGTATAGGTTCTTTATGAAAAAGTTTTTCTTAGTTTTTAATATCTGTAGGAATGTAAGAATAATGAAAGAGTCTGATAATTTTTTTAATCATGGCTAAAATAATATGTATGTATATTAGTTTAAATGCCATTTCCATGGGAAGAGCTTCTCTAGCTGCTTCGTTTCAAGGAAGAATGTGCCCTGTCATATCCAAGCTCTCAGGCTTCACTCATATTGAATGTAAGACTTACCACATTGTATCAGAAAGTTATGCTTTGGGGCTGTATTTTTCCTGTTCAGTAAATGAGCATTTTCATTTCCCAAGTGTAGTTGCTAGCACATAGGAAACCACATCATTGACAAAGCCAATTGCTCTTGGGGACGCAATATTTTTATTATAGACATATTACCTAACTTATCACCAAAAATTATATCTGCAGCTCTTCAATTTTGAAGATTTTTGTAAAATAGCTAAAGTTTGGTATTCATGAACTTTACTTATTTTACAAAAATCTTCAAGATGAAATTTTCTTAGTTTACTTTTTTCAAATATTTAATATTTTAATAAATATATAGGTAGATCAAATCAAGGAAGCTGTGCAATATTAAGAAAATGCATCATATATTTTGCACACATGTATCTGTTATTTCATGTTACCTAAAAGGAACAAACAAAAAGTTCACCTATACTGGTAAATGTTCTATGAGAAATTAGACTACAATTAAATAAGATAATAGCTTGATTTCCAAGGAATAAGAGTGATTTAATGAAGTATCCTTAGACTTAGGACCCTAAAGAAATAAAGCAGAATTTAACTAAGAATGTTAATGTTTTGAGTAGCTCAGGATATAACATAAAACAATACTGTATAGCAATTAATTTGAAAAATAAATGTTAGAAGTATAAAAGTGTCTCACTAATATTGAGTGAATAAAATGAAAATATACCAGTTCAATTTTAATATGTATTCATTTTTTATTTTTATTTTATTTTATTGTAGTTTAGGGGACATGGGTATAGGAGTGCTAATATTATTTATTTTGGGATGTACAAAGTTACTGTACTATCCTCACCAACCACTTTCCCAAGACCTTCCACTCTTGTCCCTGTTATTAGAAAAGCACATGCACTACTTTGCTCCCTGTATCCTCTTTCCAACACTTTATAATTTGTTATTTTTTTTTAAATTAAGAAACCATGATTTACAAAGTTATTGATAGCTGAGTTCCAGGTATAGAACATTTCAACACCAATTCCACCTCCAGTGTTAACCACCAGTGTTCTCATATTAACCTCCCACCCCAACTCCCATGCTATCCCCATCTGTCAAATTGACAGGTACCGTAACAAAGTTTAGTGATTTCCACTCAAATCTCATGTTTTCAGTTTTGTTCAGTATGTGTTTTGGATATGTGGCTATACCACTCATCCATATCACCAGTATAACTGAAGTCCTGGTGTCTCTTCACCCCTTACTTCCCATTTTCTCCTTATCCCAGGACCTTTTTCCTCCTCTGTCTTTCACCTCTCTAATAAACACAGAGATCAAGGGTGCTCTAATCAACCCCCTTTTTTCTACAGTACAGTTCCCCATCCAGTATTTTATATACCACAGATAAGTGAGATCACCTTGTGTTTGTTGTTCTTCTGGTTTACTTCAGTCTACATGATATTTTCCAGGTTTAACCACTTTGAGGAAGGTTGTATTATTTCATCATTCCTTGCAGCTGCATGGTATTTCATTGTTTTGAAATCAAAGGCCAAAAGCCATCATTCAATAGTATCTATTATTTGTTTGTTTTTCTTAAGGCTGAACTTCATCCTTGTTTTCAGGTTTAGAGTTTTGCATTTTTGAAGGTTGAGAAATATTAATGCATATACGTATATACACATCAATTACTTTTCTTCATTATTTGTTAGATTTCAGATTATTTCATATTTCTTTTTTTAAATATTACTTAGATATTGATATTAATTACTTTGGATACATATTTTCCAGTGAAGTATTGAATTGTGTAGTTATTCTGTTTTTTTTTTTTTTTTTTTTTTTTACATTTCACGCAACACTTTTTATTGGCCTTTTGAACAGAAACAGGAAGTTATTTGCCAGGAAGGATGATCCCATCATACTTCTGCTGGAACCAGCGCATGGCCTCCTCTTTGCTGATTCTGTGTTTGGCCCCAGTGCAGCCTGTCCTGCGCTTCTTGTCTGCGATGCTGAAACCTGGCCTACCCAGCACCACGTAGAAGTCCAGGCCATAGATACCAATGCTCGGGTCATATTTGATTCCCAGATCGATGTGTTCCTGGATCCCAAAACCAAAGTTTCCCGTATCGGAAAAGTTATTTTTTCGTAACTCATAATCTCGCACCTTTAGCCCTTTCTCCAAGATTTCTTCTGCCTTGACTCCTCGAACAGTGCAGTGGACAGCAATCTTCTTGTTTCTCCGGATGCCGAAAGACCTGACGGTATACCGAACTTTGGAGAACACAGGGGTCTGCCCGGTGAGCTGCTCCAGCACCTTGGCCGGGCGGGTCAGCCTGTCTCCGCTCTCCCCGACGCAGATGTTGAGGCAGAGCTTGTGGATGCGAAGTTCCCGCATGGGGTTCTCCTTTTCACCGTGGTCCTGCGCCATGATGGAGAACAGGAAGAGAGACTAGTTATTCTGTTTTTAATTATTTGAGGAAGTTTCCTAGTATTTTAAATACTGGCTGCATGATTTTATATATCTCACAAATAATAAAAATTCCAACTTTTTCCATCTTTGTAAATTTTTTTGGTCACTAAACTGCTATTTAGTGACCATCATAGTAGCTATTAAGTGATGTCTCACAGTGTTTATGTTTTATTTTCATGAGTTTTTTTACAGAAAATTTAGTTAATTTAATTTTGTTCCTATAAACTTTTAATTTAATTTTTTAAAAATATTGTTGTTCACATAATCAGTGTTCAACTTGAGATATAATGAACAAGTCAGCCCTTTGAGCCATCTCCCTGGTTTCATATATTTTGCTGGCTGGTTTGTTGTTTCATTTTATGGAGTCTTTAAAATTTTATTTTATTTTATTATTATTTATTTATTTATTTATTTTTTGCTTTTTGAGTCACACCCAGCGATGCACAGGGGTTACTCCTGGCTTCGCATTCAAGAATTACTCCTGGTGGTGCTTCAGGGACCATATGGGATGCTGGGAATTGGACTCTGGTAGGCATCGTGCAAGGCAAACACCCTACCCATTTTGCTATCGTTCCAGTCCCTGGAGTCTTTCAAATTTTATTGATGAAGATCAGATAAACTGACAAAAGAAATTATTTTAGTCATTCTGATCTGAAGATTTGAAATATTTGAAATATTACAATATTTGTATTTCTTTATTCTTTTTGCACCTAATAACTTTGAGTAGAAATTCTAGTGTGTTTTAAAATAAATTTTATGCTACAGTAGCTCCTTTTTTTATTATGCCCAATTTGAAAGAAACATTCATCTTTTTACCATTGATTAATTATGATATTCACCATTGGCTTTTCATATATATAACTTTTACTGTGTTGAGTTACTATTTTCCTATTTTCGGTTCATAGAGTTGTTAATGGTTGCATCAAATACTTTCCTTACGTTTATTGAGATAATCATGTGGTTTTCATTTTTACTCCTTCAATGTGATGTCTCATATGTATTTGATTATGTCAAACTATCTTTCCATCTTAATGATACATTTTGATTGGCCTTATGAGCCTTTTAATGCACTCTTGGGGTCAGTTTAATATCCTGTTGTTAGATATTTTGTACATATGTTCATCAGGGATATTGACAAATAAAATAAATTATAAAATATTTATTCCGAAGAGTTGGCATAGTGAAGCCATTTTGTTTTGAGGGATTTTTTTCCTACTGGGTGAATTGATTACTGATTCTATCTCCACACTATAGTTAAATCAGACTTTCTATTCTTCTTTTCTTTTTTTATGCCATTAAATATGCTTCTGAACCTCTCTAGCTACATTTTTTTTGCTTTTTTTGGGGTCACACCCAGTGATTACTCCTGGCTCGACACTCAGGAATCACTCCTGGCAGTGCTCAGGGAATCATATGGGATGCTGGGAATCGAACCCAGGTTAGCCGCATGCAACACAAACACCCTACCAGCTAGCTGTACTATCGCTCCAGCTCCCTATAGCTAACTTTTTTAGTATAATTTTGGTATTCATCAGGTTCTTGATTTTTATTTGATGCTTCATTTTTTTCTATTTGTTTTGAAATCCTTAAATCAAGATTCTTAAATTCATAAATCTTTTGGCCTCAGTAAGAATGTTCATGCTATCTGCTTAGCTAAAGTTTTGGTTATGTTTCCATTCTACCAGTTTATAGAAATCTACCTTATTCCTTAGTAATTAATTTACCTGATTCTGTCTTTATTTTTCTTATTTCTGTATTTGTATCAATGAATTTATCAAAACAAGTTACCTTCCAGTCTTCATTGATTCAACTCACATATAAAATGACTCAAATCTATAAGCACAATTGGAGATTCAGGGAATAATAAATTCTTTCCCTCCCTGGGAAGGATAGACAGCTGTGCTTGCTCTAAATTCGGAGGAAGGTAGGATGGCAGCTATTACACTGGCATAATCTAACATTTCTCCAGAGAAACTCTAATTGATGATGATAGAATAACTATACCACTAGTGATGGAAAGTAACACACTAATTTGGGGCATCCCTTAAAAAGTTGTGATGTGTATATTAATGCTTTTCTGACATTTGGGGGAGCTGAGGGTTTATGTTATTGGTTTGTATCCTCTTTCCTGAACAGAGAGAAGATGAGATCAACAGAGTAATATAGCCTATTCTACCAACCATATTATTCTTCAAAAAGTATACTGCACAATCTCTCAGAGCTCAAATACTGGCAAGGAAAAAAGTTGCCTTTGCATGCATGGACTCATCAGAAAATTAAGGAACTGCATGTGAAGCAGATTCTTAACTTCTTGGATTATTCTGGAATCTACAGGTATTTCTCACCAAATGCTACTATTTCAAGAGGCAGCTTCTTTGATCAGAGGGTGTTCTACATCTTGTTGACATTGGAAAATTTCTACTTTAATTGAGACATCATGAGTGTTCTAATTAATTTTAATATTGGCCAAAGAAAACTTTCTTATAAGCTCTTACCATATCAGTGTGTTTGTGGAATAAGGATGGCCTAAAACTTTGTATCTCTTCTTCTTACTGATATATTCCATGATTCTTTTATTAATTAGAAAAATAATGAGAAAAGTGGATAGAGGACTTAAAAACATCAAGTTGGTTATTGGTGAAGTGTGTGCAATTGTCCCCATAGTCCCAAAAGAAAAGTTTAATCAATGAAAAGCTCATTAAAAATCTTATACATCACTGACTGTCCATCTATTGCTTTAGTGAAAAGTTATTTGAAAGACACTGTTCTTTAAAATAATGAATTACCTATGCATTTGATTCCAGTCTCTGAATTTTTTTTTATAATTGACCTAATTGAAAAGTGCAGTATATTTTGAAAAAATAATGTATCGAATAAAAACCGTAAATTACTTTAGTTGGCAAGGTAACATCTATTACATTATTTAAGATTCAAAAAGACTTAGGACAGACAAAAAATAAAAGATAAAATAGATATGCAACTAAGTCCAGCGAATTTATTACTTGTAAACAATAGACTTGGTTTTGAATAGTCTTTATGCTGAGAACTCTTTAGAAATAATTTCAACTCAAATTTGTAAAAATTCTGTTGAACCTCACATTGTTCTAATTTGCTCTCTATATTTAACTCTGAACATAAAGAAAGCTTTGTTTTGCAAAAGGGCTAGGGAAAGATTGTTGTGAATTTGAGAGGCCAGAAATAATACGGCATCAAAGGTGCTTGCCTTGTATGTAGTCGACTCGGGCTCAATCTTGCCAACACATATCCCCTAAGCCCTGCCAGGACTGATCCTAAAGGAAGATCCAGGAGTATGTGATGAGCATAGCTGGGCATGGTTCAAAAACAAAAACAAAATATTCCCATTTTATACAGTTGAATAAAGCATTTAATTTTTCAGCGACTATTTGTGTTTTGTTCCCCTGTATTTTAAAAGGGTCAGGAATGATATTCATTCAGAGTGTGCTGCTACTTCTTATCAAAGACAGACAGAGAGAGACTAAGAAACAAAATAGAGATGCTAATGAAAAAAAAGTTGACTTCTTTCAAACCTTGACCTTTTTTTCAGTTATAATAGATGGTAAAGAAATATCTCATAATCTGTGGTGTGAGGTGATACCTCATTGTGGTTTTGATCTGCATCTCCCTGATGATTAATGATGTGGAACATTTTCTCATGTGTCTTTTAGCCATTTGGATTGCTTCTTTGTCAAAGTTTCTATTCATTTCATCTCCCCATTTTTTGATGGGGTTGAATGTTTTCTTTTTGTGGAGTTGAACCAGTATTTTGTATATCCTTGAAATTAACCCCTTATCAGATGTGTAGTTGGCGAATATCCTTTCCCATTCAGTCTTTGTATTTTGGTCACCGTTTCTTTTGAGGTGCAGAAGCTTCTTAGTTTAAGATAGTCCCATTTATGAGACTGGCCCATATCCACAAGAACAAAAGCAACCGGTGCTGGCGCGGATGTGGTGAGAAAGGGACACTCCTTCACTGTTGGTGGGAATGCCGACTGGTTCAGCCCTTCTGGAAAACAGTATGGATGATTCTCTAAAAACTAGAAATTGAGCTCCCATTTGACCCAGCAATACCACTCCTGGGAATATATCCCAGAGAGGCAAAAAAGTATAGCCGTAGTGACATCTGCAATTGTCTGTTTATTGCAGCACTCTTTACTATAGCCAGAATCTGGAAAAAAACCTGAGTGCCCAAGAACAGATGACTGGTTGAAGAAACTCTGGCACATTTACACAATGGAGTACTATGTAGCTGTTAGAAAAGACGAAGTCATGAAGTTTACATACAAGTGGTACTACATGGAAAGTATCATGTTAAGCGAAATGACTCAGAAAGAAAGGGATAGACATAGAAAGATTGCATTCATCTGGGGAACAAAAAGTAACAAAATAGGAAACTAACACCCAAGTATGGCAGAGATTAGTACCAGGAATTTTACTCAATGACCCGGAGGACAACCACACATGTTAGGGGAAGGGGGAGCTCAGAAAGAGAAGGGAACACCAAATAAAGGGTGTTGGGAGGATCTGCCCACGATGGGAGAACATGCTGAGGGTAGACTGTCGACCAAGCATGATTGCCACTCAATGCCTCTTTTGCAGACCATGGCACTCAAAAGGAGAGAGAGGGAAATGCCCTGCCACAGAGGCAGGGTGGGATGGGGGCTGGGGGAGGGAGGGGATGCTGGGATCCGTGGTGGTGGGAAATGTGCACTGGTGGAGGGATGGGTGTTTGATCATTGTATAATCGAAACCCAAGCACAAAAATGTGTAAGTCTACAACTGTACCTCATGGTGCCTCACTATTAAAAAATAAATAAATATAAAAAAAGAAATATCTCATAATCTATTGCCAAGGCGTGAATAAAACTCTTTTTTTGAAATGAATCAGTGAGAGCAATGTTTAGTAAAATTTTATTTTCAGAATGCTACAATGCGAAACACTCCTAATGAAG